AAAAAAAAAAAAAACAAAAAAACACAAAAAAACCAGAAGTAGAAAAAGCAAAGGTGATGGCAGTGAAAGGCTTTGCAGCCTTGGAGTGAAATGGTAGCAAGAATTTAGCAGCTGATCCAGCACCAGCTCTCAAGGAAAGCACTTTACTCCCACCTTCYTTCTCAACCACAGAAAAAGAAATAAATAACAGAACATCTAACAGGAATGCAGCATATAAAAGAGCTGAAATAACCATCTGATTTAAACACACAAAAAAAAATCCTCTCATAATTCGGTATTTCTGGGGTACTTATGAATGATAATAAAGCTTCATGGACTCCTTAAAAAAAAAAAAAAACAAAACAAAAACCAGTAAACTCAAAATTAAAATACAGAGATAACCAACGTACTTTTCTACACTGTAGATTTACAACGTATTGCTGGAATATGACATCAAATATTTCTCCATTTAAATTTGGGCATCACAATACCCTGTTTATACAACAACTTAATAAATTTAGCTGGGCTGCCTATTTGACAAGTAGGCGAGAATTGTTCATTAAAATGCAAATGTAATCAAGGTGAAATTTGGAATACGTTTATTAAAGTAATTGAGCTTCAGTCAACTGTAGTCACAACACAGATTTTCAAGTGCCGTTCAGACAAAAGGATATGTCTAATTCTTCAACATTAATATCTTTATCAGCATGAGCATTAAAAGAGTTTTCTGAGCAGTAATAATGTACCATGGAATAATTCCAGTTTTCTCTGCAGGAATATATTATTATAGATAAGGGTCAAAGACAAGCACAAAGGAGTGACCCAGCAGCGTACTGCACATAGAGAAAATTGGTTGCAAGTGTATTTTCAGTGCTTGGTGTAACTATGCACTTACTAAATTACTCTGTAAATCCTTTAGAGACTCAAGGTCACCAGTTAATTGGCCATTAAAGTGTTGGGGAATTGAACTTTTATTGCTAAGATTTGGAATTCTTGGTGCCTTTGWGTAAGAAATTACTCATAAAAATAAAAGGAAATCCTAAATTTGTCTTAGTTGTAATTTAAGTCGTAGTAAAACATCAGGAAGCTGTTATAGCAATGCCAGAAACGTTTTCATCAGGGTAAAGACAAGTTAGATATTTACCAGGGGTTTTCTTACATAATTTTTACTTGTTAAAGTACCCTGGGTCTTCTTCCCTACATTCAAAGGAATCACACTAAGGAGGTATTTGTCCCAGAAAATCAAATCTTWCAGTTGATAATCTCACCTCCATGGTGTAAAAAAATAAATTCAGGAGGGAGATGGTTATTAAAGGACTGAAGTGATGCCAAACCCTTGCTCAGCTCAGCTGCTCTGACTCCAGCCTGAACAGAAGAGCCAGAAAAAGTGGGAAGAAGGTTGTGCCCCACTAAGGGATTGTATTTGATGCTCTGGATGGTGTCACCAGGTGCTTCAGCCCCATTAACTCTTCCTGCTCATCCTACTCTGCCCCATTTCCCAAAGCTGGAGTTACAGACCATTTAAACCAGCTTGATTCTAAGGCAGAACATTCATGGTGAGCAAATATTTTGAGCAGTAAATAAAAGAATTATGTATCTATTAAGCAATGTATACAWAAGTACTTCTCTGATCACGGAAACTGTTAGGCACCATTTCATAAAATGGTTTATTCAGTTTTCTTACCTTAATGGAATCAGCCTTTATATCAGCAAAGCTAATGACAGAACATCTCCTGCTCCAGACACTGTTAGAAAGAATCCAGCCTTTTCCAGAGGCTTACAGCCAATTGTAAATATAAATGAAACCCATGTGTCACTGCTCTGAAAGCCACTGAAAGCACAGGCTTTCTAAAGGCCATTTCCTTTATTTTCATAAAAGCATTTCAATGTGCATCTGCAACAGCTCCCTGCTAGACCCATAAAAGCTCCTCTTTGGGCACCAGGCCAGACCCTGCTGAGAGTGTTGGGAGGTACCTGTGTAGCACTGCCTGACTTGCTGCAGTAGAGGCAAACTGGAGAGGAGCTAAGGCTTCCCAGGTGAAAAACAAATGCAATTTAATCCATACTACAACTTAAACCATTCCCAGGAAGTATTTTCTATAGCAGAAKATAACAATCCATTTCTTTCTCAAACAGAAAGCACAGGAAGCAACAACTATGAAACTACAGCAAATACAGCTAAACTGTTTTGCGAACACTACAGACTAAAACAGTATTAAAATCCACTATAAATCTTCTAAATGAGCACTTTGCATTATCTGAAGCCATGCCACCATGAACTGTGATCCAGTCACAAACCTCAGATGAGGCCAGTAAGCATCTGGACCCTGAAGATTTCAAAACAGTATCCACTAAAGGAAACAGGGARAGCAGGAAGATGACTTCAGTTGGATTAAACTTGAAATCTATGCTCTTCCCTAATTTTGGGGGCACCATGGTACTGCAGGGACTGGATTTTTTGAACATACAATAAAATGGAAGTTCTGACACCCAAAGAATTCAAGCTGCTACAKCAATTCTCTGCAGGAGCACAAGTGTTAACACTACAATAATCAGATTTCACCTGATTACATGCAACTGCTCTCACTGCTGTTTCACTGTGAATAAAACACTTTTGTTTTAATCATTCCAGTGCCCCCAAATATATGCTGGATGTATCCACATTAGCACACATCAGACTCCACTGGAGCTGTTGCTGCATTCTAATAGCTGAAACAATTCTTACATGTCCCTTAACTTTCTGACAACATGCTGTAACACCTAAACAGAAAATAATTGTGAAGCTGCAGGAATTGCCAAGACGAAAGAAAATCCATATGCACACAGAGCTTTTCTTATTTACAGAGTGAGCACAGAACAATAGGAGAGCAAACTCTGCATTTCTCRTTAACTGACAACAGTGATACTGATTTAAGCCAGTGTTCCATTCCCTTATCAGCAAACACTAGAGCTGCTGACCATTTTACTGAGTACTTCAGGGTTTTACATTCAGCATTGAAATTTATATCCATGCCAGTATGTCCCAAATTTATTTACATTAGGGCTGCTCCATCACCTTTCCTGAGCRATGTAAGGCAGTCTCATTATAAATGTGAATTAGGGCATTGTTCACTTAAAAATTACTCATTGAGTTATTACAGGGCACACAYATTATCCTGAAATTTATTTCTGAAATAACCAATAACCTGGAGTTGAATTTACAGGGTGGTGAGCCTGAGCCAGCAAGTCCTACTACTGAGCTCTGCATTTGGGTCATGCTCTGAAAGCTCAGCATGYGGACAGAAAAAGCTTGCAACTGTTCACAGTTCAAATGTAGATACTAATGGAAAGCAATTATAAATTCCAGAYTGGTAGTGTTCACAGCCAAGTTAAAGATGCCCACACAAGGAACCAGGAACACAGTGGTGACTGTTCCTATTCAATGCGTGAATAATTACACACTAAGAACCAAAYGGGTAAACATTCATCCACCCACTTTTCTTTAATTCAGTGAAGACCAGATGATAATTACACTAAAAATCTATCAAATGTAGGTACCAACCCACAGAAACTCAGACATCTGTGATCATTTACCATGCTGAACCACTGATGATTCTGCCAAGGAACTAAAGCTGTACCACATCAACATCTGTCTGGAGCAGTTGAAGACACACAAACAATCTGGAATACCCACATTGTTTCAGATGTTGATTCCCATTTCATTCTCCTGCAGACGAATACAATATTCTTTACTCAAATGTTTGTTTARAAAACAAAACCAGGGTTTGCATAATGGGAAAGATGCACATTATCACATGGAAATCTGACCAGGAWAAAAGTCACTAAACAAGTTCAAGTAAGACATGAACAAATTTGTGGTATGTTCACAGAAGGTTGTGTGGCAGGAAAAAAGATCTTCAATAGTCAAAACACCTCCCACACTGTGATAGGAGATGTCACAGATAGATGCATTCGTGTAGTACTGCATATTTAAAGTGTCTCAGAGTGGTTTTCAATTAACCACAAAGATGTTAAAACACAGATGCTGCTTCCATTACGAAACGAGGCAGAACCTCTCCTTGGAAAATGAGGAGGTTCTCTAATGCTGAAAAGCCCAAGCACATTTGGTTACAGGGAGCTACAAAAAACCTGTCTCAGGAGGAGTACATAAACAAAGGTGAGTGAGGGAAACACTTCCAGAACAGCATCAAAGAGACCATTTCGTACTCATGAAGGGCAGAAAAATAAACCTGTGAGGTTTCAGGGCTTTGCTATAAATTTTTCTCCAAAAAGTTGCAGGTGAGCTGTTACTAAAACTTCAAGAGAAAAAAAAAAAAAAAAATAATGTGTAGATTTCTGGAATTTCCATTTTTTAGCTTTAAGAATGTACAATAATGACTTTATGTTCATTTTATCAATAAAAACTCACTGTTTATTAGGTGGAATTTCACTGAGAATCCTGATCCTCTACCAGRAAATAATGGTGCTTCAAGATTTTCATGTGAAAGTAGAAACCAATTTTCATGACCTAATGTCTTGCATTACTACATAAAGATATTTACAGAGCAATGACATTTTACTTCTAAAAAATGAAAACCTCATTTTACATGCCAGCATAGTTCAAACATCCAGTGACAATGTGTCATTGGGATATCAGAAGATGTGGGATTACACTGTTGTGTTTAGATAAGTAGTAAAATCTAATAAGGATGAATTATTTCCACTTAAGAAMTCTCAAACATAAACAAATATTTTTGCCTAAAATGAAAGGAATAGAAACTCAAAGGAACAGCCTCTGGAAAGGCAGAAATTCTGATAGGAATAGCAGTCTTCCCAGTGATTGATGATAGAGATAATGGTTCATACATCCATACACTTAAATAGCTGTCTTTCCCCATGACTGCTGTCTAATTAATGTGAGCCATCATTCATGTAAAAGAAAAATTTTGCTTCTGGAGGAAAAAAAAAACGCTGCAAACTGCCAGCAGTGACAGTGCTAGAAACATGCCAATTAGAGTGATTTCTGCCAAACAGCAAAAGGGCACAAAACACTGGTTTCCAAGCAACTGACATTATAAAGTATTAAATACACTGGAAACTAAAATTGGCAGATAAACATTTCACCTTCTCAGCACTGCCTCACTCTCTCTTTGCTTCTCGCTGCCTTTCCTGCCTGCTCTTACAGACTCCACTGTGCCTTCCAGTGAACAAATGCACTGAGGGATGCCAGCTTGTCACACTCCTAAACACTAAACATCTTCTGTCTGCATATATTAGAGTAGCACCRGTACAGATTCACAGGTAAGGACAGACAAGGTCATAACCAGAACTCCAAAAATAACACATTAAAACCTTTCAGTACAGSCTGCCATTTCAATCACATTGAAAYGGTTTTGTATTAAAGGGAGATCCACAGCCACTATCAGGAGAAGAAGTAGGAGAAACTGCTCTTCAGGTTACAGTCAGTTTGTCATTCCAGGCAGAAAGGATTGATTAAGAGAGGCTGGGCTTTCTGCATACTGAGTGACTTTTAGAGATCTACCTTCAGGAAACTTGAACCATTTTAAAGAGCCATCCAGCTTCTAATTTAAACCAGAAAAAGCAGCCAGTTGAACACTGYTAAACTGCCAGCAGTTTGACATTTTGCTTTATCTACCCAGCACAGCCCAGGGAAACCAGAGCACTGGAGGCATTGCCCTCAAACTCTGCCTAATTCCATGCAGAGGTTCTGTGTGCCCTTTGCAAGGTGAAGGCTTGGCTGCCTCACGCTATAGCAACAGACAACAGACACTTTCCCTTTAGGCTTGCAGCTCAAAGCTGTCAATTCCTAGACATTGAGGATGACCACAACTTGTCACTTTTTCATTATGTTCAGATGACTGTCCCTGCGGAGTTCTCAGTTTATATCATTATTCATACCTCCTTTTTACAAACACAAAAATTGGTATTTTCAGCCAGTCTCATTTGAAGTAATATGCTTAGTTTTAATTACTAATTTTTGTGAACAGGAGTAGTTCCAGTGCACCTGCATGGACTTGGTGGGCTGAACTTGTCTCAGAACTGTTTTATGGCAACCTGCTTTTATTATAGGTTAACCACTACAAATTTCCAATTATTCTGTAATCTCTCTTGCTGTATAACTGTTCTTACGTATCCCTGCAATATATTAATTATAAAGACTTCTATTTTCTTGGTTCTCATACAGTACATCCTCATGACAGCATGGATTACTCGACATTATTTCTGGATCCCGTTTACAAGTGTCACTGGAACAAAGCAATAAGACAGGATCTCCCTCAGSTCAATGTCACTTTGAAGGGGCTGTGCTACTTGAGTTTACTCAGTTCTAGCAAAAATAGCAATAGAAATGAAAACATAATTCTTAGCTCAAAACCACAGACATTTGAATCCTCAAGGGCAACAGCGGTGTCTTTCCTGCYACACTGTATTCCTCCCACTGAACCCAATACTGGGAAGCACAAACAAATTCCTTCTCATGTTTCCATGCTSTGTGTGGGTACAATGACATCAATGAGGGGACAGGTGTCTCCTGGAGTGACCGGGCACAACTCATCAGGGAACACTTCATATCTTGGAACTGATGTGACTAAACTATCAGTGRCTGATAGTTTTGAAAGATGAGTAGTTTGAGTTACCCCTGCATTCTGTCTCATCATCCTCTTTTATATCATCACRACGACTCAAGAAAGTGTAAGACAGTATTACTGACAGGAGGTATGAGGTCATAATTATAAGGTTTATCTTTAGTTTAATTATGTTTTTAATATGTAAGGCAGAATATTAAAGCTATATAAATGCAGCTAAGTCTGTTCCGGTAATGACTCCTCAAACATTTCTGCGATAATTTTAAAATTCCTACTACTCTGCTATGTCACTGTGATTATTAAAAAAAACTTCCTCACACTTTGTTCCATTATACTCTTTCATACAAACAAGCTGCAAGATCACAGACTCTACTTCCTGTGAATATGTATCAATTAACGTCCAATTAAGACAACTGCTGGGCGTCCTTTTCAATCAGRAGGAAAAGCAGCTAAAGCCAAACCCACAAAGGTCATTTGTATTCTCTGACTCTCTCTAGTAAGTATTAGCATGCTGCTCTGCTAGCTGACTGCTTTAATTGAGATTAAAAGTTGCTGCCCTGGAGAAGAAAACTCCAGTTTTCTTCTTTATTTCTTGCACTTTCTGTTCTGCTTTTTTCCCCTACTATATCTCCTTTTTTTAAAGCCTGAAATTATTACAAGAAGCATTACTGACATGGCCTTTGATCCAAACCAGCAGTGTAGTCATTCTCACTTGAAATTATCTTCTCCTGCAACTTCCTATTTCAGTGTTTGGTTTAAAAGTCTGTAGGGTTTGATTCCTTAGTCATTCTTACTGTTCCTTTTTTTCYACATGTAGATTTAGCCAAAGGAACAAACATTCAACGTGAATGCCTAACACTTTTTCATTGTGAAGATATTTCCACCCAGAAACTGGAAATCAAGGGAACTTATTTTTGAATGCAACTGTGAATTAAATTTGTGGGACTAGAAGAAGATGGCAGWGGGATGTTTAAAAAGTAGAGATTTTCTTACTTACCAGCTGTTCAAATTCTGCTTGGACATTAAAATTAAGTTGGGTTCTTTMCATCTTCTAGATCAGGAATAATGGGGTTTCTGAAAGCCAAATTTGACATCCAAGAACAATTTCACAAAATTCACTGTTCTCTGTGGGTGTGGTTCAGACCTGATCAGGACCGAACAGACAATTCTGCTGATAATGTGCGTGAAGAACCACAATTTTATTTCTCTTTAGCAGCACTGGTTGCTGGAGGTGAGCAGGGATGAAAGACAAAAATTGGGGTTTTAAGCACTCCAGGAAAAGAAAAGACATCAAAACACATTAAGATCAAATCTATTTAYGTCATTTAAAACATGCATTTAACATAACTTTGCAGATTGCATTACCATTAAAAATTCAGTAGCAAGCAAATCTGTATTTATCACAATGTGGCACAGGAAACAAATGTCCTCAGTAAAATCAGGCTAAACAGTCCATCTGTTGGAGCAAACAACTGCACTCACCCAGAGCAATGGGCTGCAGCTCACAAAAAAAAAAAATCTTACCCTGGAGATTCTAATTTAATAGGTCAATTTAAAAATAAGAAATTTTTTAAAAGTCAGAGAAACAGAGGCAGCRCTGCAGTCTAGAAGAATAAGTAAGGTGACTAGGGTATTTACTTCCCTGAGACACCCAACTTCCAACTGCAATTGTGACAATTAAGCTTACATTCCCAGTTTTAMTTTCATAATTTAGCCCTGAGAGTGATATTTATCCACCTAATACCAATCACTGCTGCAGAGATGAATAAAACAATGTTTGCACATACTTGAGTACTAGGCATTATAAAATTAATCAGATTAACATTCTTAAAAGTAAAAGAGAGTGGTAATAAGATCTTTTTAAAAATAAAAATTAAATTTAAATGGTAAGAACAAATATTACCTACGTGTAAAAAAACTAACTTGCATTGAAATGAGGGGTCCAACTTGCTTCTTTCAATGGCTACAAATCAATGTGTTAATATTTAAGCTGAACAAGTCTTTTAATACCAATTAAATGAGGGCGATTTGCATCCTACAGAACATTTGCAGCTATTTCTCCTCCTACTCATTTGAAAATAAAAAATGCAAAGCAACCAAAAGCAACCTCCAAGCACCTGCAGCTCGTAGATCAAGAAGCAAAGTGATCTTTGGCAGGTTATCATCAAAAAAACTTTAATTTGACCTCAAGGAGACAATCCCTCTGAAACTTAGCAGAGASTAATGACTGCAGGCAAACATAACTAACAGTGCATTTATGGCAAAACCAAGTCATGCTTTACTAAAATGGCTTATCCACCCTTCAAAATACATAGGATTTATTATTTTGTTTACAGTTTATTATTATTTTCAGCCAAGTTTATCAAGGGAAAATCCACTAAAACTGATTCAGTTGACTAAGTGAATAATAAAAATAATTGGGGGCAGAGAAGGATAACAAGGAAAAGTATGTGAAAATTAATGTTACCACAAGCAAATAGTATAGAATTTAGAAATTGCACTGACATAAAAATTTGGGGACATTTAAAACATCTAAATTTCGCTTTATTGTGAAATGTAAAGCTGATTTCTCTACAGCAGTACATGCAAAGAAGTTGCTTTAACTTCCTTTACTTTTATGTGGTTAATCTCAAAGAATACTAGAGCTTAATTATTCTTCAACATATGCTGATACAATATCACATGATATCTTGACTGCCATATTTGCTTAGATTTAACCTAATTATTAAGTTTTTATATAGATGTCTGTCTTATTGCTGCTTGCTTTAATTCTACTATTTTTCCCTAGTGAATGCTCTTCAAAGACTYAAAATCTCAGGAGCTTGTAAACACTCGTGTAATTTGTACCCTGCTGGGGCTGGCAAGGGTAATTTGTCAGTTTTATTTGCAGCAGGCTGTAACTAAACCCTGCCAGATGTAAATCATCTTTTTGTACTCTTTGCCGTTCAATTGCAAATGAATCTCTTTCCTTAGATTAACACTCCCATCAACGAAGYCAGAAGTTTCCAGAAAAATTTAGAAAACCCTGTAGTCAGCTACTGCAAGGCTTATTATGCAGTTTAGCAACTGTTTAAGGTAATTCTGAGAAAACAGAGTGAGTGGCCTCTGTGGGCCAGTTTGGAGGTGCAATCAGGACTTTTGAGTGCCACAGAAAAGCAGAGTGAATCTTCTGTATTTTCAACTTAAGCACCACCTGCAGGGACAATGGTGACACCTTGGTGACAACATTTTTGCATTTTAAGAGTACCAGTGCCTAAATGGGARTGTTCTCTTCCAAAGCCTGTTCTTAATAGACCTCCMTGCGTGGTTTTGTTYTGTTTTGTTTTGTTTGCTTGGTTGGTTTTTAATGTTTATTTATTTAAATGAGACGATAAGAAATGTCCTGCTGGATGAGAAGTTTCTCAAGTCTTGTGGCAATGTGGTTTCTAGGAAAGAATTTACAATCTTGTACAGCCTTGCCTGGCTAAAGTTCCTGTGTGCTCTGGATCCCATATCTTGACTCAGGTCCATTCCCAATTCTCTAAATGAGAAGAGCCTCTTCCCTGGTTCCGGTGGATCAGACTGAAAGTCACCAAACTTAAAATAAACATTACAGCATTAATTAAGAAGAGCTGAGCACAGAGAAGGTATGTGCAGTCTCAGGGCTCAGTTTCAATCACCAAATATTTTCTGAGCTGCTCATCACCTGTGACTGCATCGTGTCATCTCACAAGCATGAAAACAARTCTGAGTTCAAATCTGACAGACATCTTGTAGGAAGTTGAGCAATCACAACCTTCATTAAACCACCAGACAGGAAGAAGAGCTTGTTCAATGGCCTAGACTTAAAGAACGGCTGCTGCAAGCACTCACAGATTAACAAACTACAAAACTTACGCATCATTTTTAAAAAGAAGTGGTGCAAATAAAGTTTTCTACTGAGATGCAAACTAGATTAAAAGTGTCTCACCAGTCTGGTGTAGAAAATCTTAGTATGTCAGGAAGCATCTTTGGTGCACAAATTGATTCTCATAGGAARTACCTGTGCAAAATGCATGTATGCTTTATAAATTGCTATGTTTAAATGCTTAAGAAATGTGGCTTTTCTCTTGGGAGACTGTCATATAGACTACTGTGTCTAACATAAAAAGGATATCCAATTTCCAAACCAGGAATAGAAAATTACTTACTTGTAGCTGCTCTTCCCTGAAGATACACTCTGTGATAAACCTCTATTCTGGGTCTGTGCTTTCACCCCCAAGGAAGGCACAGACCCATAAAAAGCCCTCAAGTCAGACACAAGCACAGTTTTAGAACTCCCTCAACCATAAGTTTATTCAAGTGGAAAAAAAAGACCCATTCCTGCCTATTAAAAAAATTATATAGGTAGATTAATAAAAGACTTCAGATCACTCAGCTGTGTCTGGAGTTYGGGCTAAAAGAATATGAAAATAATAATTCTTTCCTGCACTAGTTTTAGATCAAAGGGCTCATCCACTGATTCCAAGCAATCCAAAGCTGCAGGCCCCCAGAATTTGTATCCATATAGATGAGGTAGAGCAAATCTACAAAAAAGGGGGCCCAGTAGACTCAGAGCTGTGGATGGAACACTTGCTCTGCTGTGTAGCTTCTGCACAACAGAGCAAAAGCCCAAGAACATTCAGGTACTTAAAAAAAATTGAGAACATTTTGCTTTTTGGAATTTTTACTTGAGAAGACATAAAACTCTTTCCAAATTTGTGTTCCTACCTAAGATTTCAGCAGAACAAAGATTTAAAATGTAAGGAGCAGTGACTGAACTCATTCACACACAAAGAGCTACTGAACAGCCTCAGTGAGCACCCAGCCTTCACGTACTGGAAATGCCAACCAGAGATTACTGGACACATTCAGCATGGGGAGTCTCTTACACTGAACTTTAGGGAAAATAAAAATTAAGTAGTTGTTATTACATAAACTTAACCATCGCCATTTGGCATATTTTTCTTCCCAGGGATCAAAGTTATTTATTGTAACCATTTGTAATAAACAGAAGGTTTAGAATAAATGTGTTCATCTGTGAAAACAGGCTCTCAAAAGTAGATTGGATTTTAGAAATGAGTTATCAGACAAAACATTTTTTAAAAAAATCCAGCACAAAACCTTAAATATTTGTAATTTTTTTCCTGTACACAAAAGAACACAACTGATCTATCTACAAATAATGCTAAAAGACAAATAATTATTTTCTCTTATAAGCTCTTCTAAATTTCATAATACTCTTGAAGGTAGAAAGATGCCAGATGGATGGAACAGACTTTGCAGGTGGAACACCTTCAGAGAAGTTGCTTCAGAAGCAAATTGGTTTCCAAAACTGAAGTTTTCATATTTTGGGCAATATTCAACTCATATCAGGGGGCATGGCTTTTGAGAGTTCAGTGAAAAATCCAATAAATTCTAAGTATTTGAACACCCTTTGATCTTTTTTCTCCTTTTCAGTTACCATTCCCTTAAGGCTGTCTTCCCTGGCATACCTGTTATTGGGAGCACCACCCCCTCAGCACCATCCCACAGCACAAAATATAACAAAACCCCCAAACCCCATGAATTTGTGTCAAGTTTCTCATCACCTCTGCTACAGGGACAGCATGAAACAGACCGATGGGACCTGATGTTTTGGTTTTTTTGTTAAATTCCACACATTACATTTAAAGAAAACATTGGAAGAAACCTAACTTGGATGGTCCAAGAACTTGGGAATTTCCAGTATGTTTTGTTCACAATACTTACTCAGTTTTGCTTATCAGAAGCAGCAAAGTGTTGCCAAAAGCCCGGTTTTCTACCCCTGGAGAGACCTGGAAAGGAAAGACTCAATTAAAACATTGAAACAAATTAAATGTCTTTCAGGATCTCTCCCCAGTGAGGGGGAAAATGTCCCGGTGTATGGGGGTAACCAAGGAGCCCTSAGGTTTCAATGCTGGGAAAGCGCCGGCCCGGTAACCACGGGCACGTCTAGCGATGTTTGACCTCATTTAAAGTGTTTAATGCCACAGCGATTGCAAATTTGCTCTCTCAGGTGCACTATTTGCTTTTATCCTTTCT